TGGAGAGGTAATTTGGTCATGAGGATGGAGTCCTCATGATGGGACTATGGCCTTTATAAGAAGAGATAGGAGAGAGCTTGCTTCCTCTCTCTCTGCTCTCTGTCATGTGAGGACACAGCAAGATGACAGCCATGTGCAAACCAGGAAGAGGGCCCTTACGCTAGGGCAACCATGCTGGCACCCTGATCTCCAACTTCCAGCCTCTAGAACTGTGAGAAATAAATTTCTGCTATCTAAGCCACTCAATCTATGGTAATTTGTTATATAGTAGCCTAAACTAAGACAACCCTTAACACTTTTGCAATATTTATTACCAAACCCACTTACTTCCACTACAGTGTTCATTAATTAGAGATTATGTTTTTCCCATTATGTATTAACCTCCATATTCAACAACACCAAGCAAACAATAGAGTCAATCAACAAACATTTGGCATTTTTAATGAAAGTACACTTGACATTTGACATAGGATGGTTTACTTTTTCCTAGGCACTAAAATAGTGAAAGAGGTACATTTCCAAACAACTCATAAATGCTACATCAGCTCAACGTTGCCCTCTGGTTGCAAATCTACACGCTAAATAAGTTACACAATGGGTTTCACAGTCTGCCTCTCACTGCCAGTCTCATCCCCTGCCTCTGCCCTGTGATTCCTATGCCCTGGTCACACCAAACTTCTGCCATTAGGCCTAGAAAGTCCTTCACCCATTTTTCTACTGTGTACTCCTACTCGTCTTCTCAAACCAGTCACCACTCCTATGAAGCTTTCAGGGAGAATTAATCCTTGTCTGTGCCTCTCATAACAGTATGTGCCCACTTCCATTACCTAGCTCAATAGACTATATTATAACCATTGATTACCCTCAAGAAATCAAGGCGCCTAAGGGCAGAGGGTCATTACTTTTTGACAGTTTTACCAACACCTAGCAACCATACCTTGTTACACAAGAACTATATGGTTGTTGAATACAAGAATGCATAAATAACATAGCAAATGTAGCTCAAGTAAGTGCTCTCTAACAGAACCTGGAAAGGCATGTGTCTATGAGCATACACACACAATCACAACAAACTCATAAATCTCACAGATTAAATGGTGATTATGGCTCTGCAAAAGGATTCATTTTTATCACAAATATTTATAATAAGGTCCCCTTTAAAAATGAACTCTTATATGATTATCTTAGAAATTTTTGTAGCATGACTTTTCAGAATCACTTTATTAAAAAGCTATAGTTTTGGCAATAAGACAGTCATGAAATCCAAATAAAAGAGCCAAAACTTAAAATTAAAAAAAGCAACCATCAGTAATTCAATATCAAAATCATCTAAGGAGCTCTGAGGTTTTATTTGAGATCTCTAAGTTTTCTAGAGATCTTTTTCCTTTCCCCAGAGTTTGTGTTTTAGTCTGTCTTTTGTGTAAGTCACTTTGCAAAATGTTTCACTCGATCATTTCTTAACCTAATCCCTTGTGGATGGTTTAAATTAAAGAATATCACGAAAAATTTAAAAGTAAGGAAGTTTTGTTATTGGTTATATCAGATTGTGAGTAGGATACATGTTCTGAAAATGTAAATACAGCAGGGCACAGATCTGACTTGTATAAACTGTCAAATTAAATATAAGTTGGATACAGAAACTGGGAATAAATGAATTTGGAATTCTAAGAAAAAATTGTTTTCTCAATTTTAGTATCTCAATTTTAATATCAACAATATTAAAAGCCATTTACTGGGAGCCCACTATTTGCCAGACACTATGTAAATTCTCCCTGACTCATGCAAAATGCGTTAGGAGAAAACTGAGCTTCAGGGGTTAAATGGCTGGCTGTTACACAAGGACTAAGTAATGGACCTGAGGTTCAAATCCATGCATGTATGCCTCCAAAGGCTAAAACTTAATTCACTCCTATGCTAACAAAATGTAATACTGAAAAAGTGAACCAAATTTCTACACGTTTATCTGCTTCTTTAAACAGCTCTAGTGAACATTTGTCTTTTTATTACCTTCCTAGCACTGCAATAGTCACTCTTCGAAGCATTACCTAAGCCTCTGTGCCTGAAGCCTCTGCTTTGTGAATTCTGTGCTTACTGAAGTCTACTTTGATACCTCTACAGTTAAATTGTTTTAAATGGCATACAACAGAAGCACCCTCATACTGAAGTTTAGATGGACATTTTTTCCAAAGCGGTTTCAGTACTATGTGCTACATAAAACTACCAACTACTTTCCTTATTGATGTTACTTACAGGTAACCTCCAAGGGAAAGTTAAAAAGCCCAAGGAATATTTGGGTATTAAATGCTCAGAAGCTAGCCTATGAACAATAAAGCAATAGATTAAAAACGGGCTCTCTAAACATTTGATTAAATACCAGGTGGGAACATCAATTTCAAGTATGAATTCCAAGTTGGTGAAGAAAAAAAGAATTTCAATTCAATAAAAATTCTGTTCCACCAGCTCTGCAAAATTTCACGGCTCATCTACGTTCTCTTAAAGCTTCTTTCTGATGGTACTTATTTAGAAAGGACCAACAGCCAATTTTAATATAGGAATTCTTTAATTTTATCTGCTTTGGACAGTTGTATGAACCTACTTATCCTGGCATCAAAGTAATTAGAATTAAAGATCAAAGGCTTCTTGAGTGAATCCAGAATACAAGCTTGTTTGGATTTTATGTCATGGAACCACAGAAAGAATCCAATAAATCAACTTTCACAGAATTTATTTATGCCTGTCATTTCCTTTGGGGCAAATTCATTTTATAGGCTGTCGGCAAAATAAGAGACTCAAATCCGGTCGGTTTTTATTGTTTGTTATTAACTCTTTAAGCAGCAGCCATAAAGGTGTAGCTACTTCAGCCATGTTGCTGGTTCAAAAGGCAACTTAATTATTTTAAGCCAAAAGCATTTCTAAAGTCAATTGCACAGGAAACAGAGATTAACTGCCATTATGATGTTGCTTCCAAAGTCAGGAACGAGAAAATCCAGAGGAATTATGATAATGAGAATACCTCAAAAGAAGAAAAGGGCTACCAGCTACTTTTTATTCTTTACTAATTTCACAATAAGGTTTTTTTCCTTTCACTTCCCACTCATCCTTTTGCAGCTGCATGTGTTCACAGAATCACAGTATCTCAGGGCTGAAAGGGGGTTCCAAAGGCTTTGTAATCTACCTGTCCAAGGAACATATTTCTTTTACCTATTTCCACTAAGTGGCCAATGAACGGAACATTTTCTACCCATCAACGTAGCCCCCTGTGTCTTCCATGGGTCTCTCAGGAAGTTCTCACTTACTGAATTGAAATCTGTCTCACTATTATTTCCACCTTGTTGTATCTCTACAAGTCATAAAAAGCATCAATCTAAGCTCTCTTTCGTATGAAGTCCATTGAACATCTAAAGAGAGTGACCCCCTTCTCCAGCTATTTCTACTTCTTCAAATGTTCCTAATATGAAATGCTACTGAGTTTGCTGTCTATGTTGGGCAAGCTATAAAAAATTTAATTTGTAGGCATATCTACAAGTGTTTTAATTTTTAAAATTAATATTTAAAACTTTGAGTTACCTAAACATATTAGTTACCAACTTTAAATCAGACGAGTTAATGCTCAAGCATAGCAAAATCTTGCTTATAAATGTATATACTTAAACTAAAACCCAATAAATTCAGGTACAAGACTATTTTTAGTACTATTTAAATACAGGTGGATCATCCCCAATCTGAAAACCCAAAATCTAAAATGCTTAAAAATCCACGCACCAACTGGGGAATGGACATGCTTGAAGCTCTAACTAGAGGGGGGAGGGGAGCAAGGGAAATATACATAACCTTAACATCTGTACCCCCATAATATGCTGGAAAAAATTTAAAAAAGGAAAATCATACAAAAAAATAAAAATATAAAATGCTTAAAAATCCAAAATGTTTTGTGCACTGACATGATGCCACAAGTGGAAAATTTCACACCTGACATCATGTCATGAGTTGCAGTCAAAACTTTATTTCATGCAAAAATGATTAAAAATGCTGTATAAAGTTACTTTTAGGCTGTGTTTATAAAGTATATATAAAACATAAATAAATTTCATGTTTAGACTTAGGTCTCATCCCCAACATAGCTTATTATATATATGCAAATATTCCAAAATCTGGGAAAATTCCAAAATTCAAAATACTTCTGGTCCCAAGCATTTCAGATAAGGGATATCAACCTGTCATTAATTTCCCTTAATTGTCCCTAACAAATATTCACATAAAAGGCTATGTGTTAACTAAAAATTTTAATAAATATTTAAAATACCTTTTATTAAGTTTTAGAGTTTTATTCTACAGTTTACTTAAAAAATAGGATGAATTATTAATATAAATTCTTAAATCATACAGATGATCACAACTCTCTTCATGACTGAGAACCTTCACCCAAAGTCAAACAAAAAACCAAAGTCAAAAAGTCTGAATTTTAAAGGCTTTTAGACATGTGACTTTCAGGGTCTTGCTCTGTCAACCCTGGCTGGAGTGCAATGGTGCAATCATAGCTCACTGTAAACTCAAATATAACCTCAAATTCCTGGGCTCAAGTGACCCTCCTGCCTCAGCCCCTCAAGTAGCTGGGAGTACAGGTATGCACCACCATGCCTAGTTAATTTTTAAATTTTTTTGTATAGACAGGGTCTTGCTATGTTGCCCAGGCTGGTCTGGATCTCCTAACTTCAAGTATTCCTTCCAACTCAGCCTCCCAACATGTGGGATTACAGGTGTGAATCACCGTGCCTGGCTTAGACATACATGATTTCAGTAAGGTCCCCAGGTGGACTGAATAATCTGTTTCAAGATTCACACCTTTAATATCAGTTGAAGCTACCTATGACACTTCATACATGCTTAGATTATTTAGCAGTTCATAAAATACTCAATTGAGTAGTTGCCACACAAAATATTTTGAAAGGTTGACATCTAAATTACACTAACAAAATCATTAAACATTCACACACACTTACCCAAGACTCGTGGTATAAAACTGTTAGTAGATACATTGCATAATCATAATTCTGTCTCGTTAAAGGGCACCTTTAAAGAGAAAGATGGAGGAAGTAAAAATTCTAAAAACTCAGTACTATATACAGAAGATAACATTTTCAGGCATTCCCTCTCTGCTTCAGGAAAATTCTGTTTTTGTAATAAGAATAGTCTACATAGTTCATTACTTGAGGATATTGCATACCTTTTTTTTTGAGACAGAGTCTCACTTTGTTGCCTAGGCTAGAGTGAGTGCCATGGCGTCAGTCTAGCTCACAGCAACCTCAATCTCCTGGGCTCAGGCGATCCTCCTGTCTCAGCCTCCCGAGTAGCTGGGACTACAGGCATGTGCCACCATGCCCGGCTAATTTTTTGTATATGTATTTTTCGTTGTCCAATTAATTTCTTTCTATTTTTAGTAGAGACGGGGTCTTGCTCAGGCTGGTTTTGAACTCCTGACCTCGAGCAATCCGCCTAACTCGGCCTCCCAGAGTGCTAGGATTACAGGCGTGAGCCACCGCGCCCGGCCTTATATTGCATACTTTTATCTGGTGTTATTTTATCTTAATTTAGAGTATCTCTTTGCTTTCATATCAGTAACGGAGTTATCTGTATTGACAATAGATTTATGCTATTTTTAATATGATTATGTCCAATCCAAGTTCCCTTCACCATCTCAGTGCTAATAATCTACCAGACAGCATGAACATATCTGATGAGTTCATTTAAAACATAGACATAAACAGATGATAGATGCTAATCTAAATGTTAATCTTGACTTCCCCAGAGCTGACTCTTTTAAAAATAAGTTATACTACACAATGTTACACTGTTGCTGCTATATTTAAAATGGACCTAATAACCTAAAGTTAAGTAAAACTTCTACATACATATGAGATGGCACATTAAGCTTTTAGGGTAATAAAATAATACAGAAAAGGAAACAATTCTAATTAATTGAAATATAAAATAATAAAACCATCATATGACATATGACTCTAACTGTACTGTTTATTCCGTACTTAAGTTTATTTAAAAGTACTCTACTCTCAATAGTTATTACTATAAAACACACACACTAATACTTATAAACCTAAAAACAAAAGCAACATTATTGGATATTAAAGAATTTCAAAGAATAACATTTTAAAGGTATTTTTTAAGTTGCACAAACTAAAAATACAACATTATCTAATGATAGTAAAGGACTATTCTCAGTATATTTCAAATCAATTTTTCCCCATATGGTAATAATCAAAAACCATGGTTCCTAAGCTTTTCCTGCCTCCACACCTTGTCATCTCTGCATGTGTGTCAGCCTCCTCCTTCCCACCAAGGTTTTATGTAAGGATTACATAAAATGTATGTAATCCTTACATAAAACCTAATCGATATTGACACCTCCAAAAGCTTAGAAACCCGGACATGCAGGGAGAGAGCAGTCTGCCTACTCGCTTTTGTCTAAAGGCAGGTCTTTCCAATTCTAGAAATACAGCAGCCATTTAGTAAAAACATACCAATAATCTTTATCTCAAATGAAAGTGATCTAATTTATAAATTGATATATGATAAAATCGAATACTACTTTTCAAACTGGCTCTGAAATTCTGCTTATCTACAAAAGTACCTTGAAAATTTTCCACATAGTAAATGGAAATTAAAAATAAAATTTTCCAATTTAGTAACTTAAATTACTAAGCTATATAAGATTTATATACATTTACTTTGTAAAAACCTGTTTAATGATTAGCAAATCACACTTCTATCTTCTTTTAACATCTTCCCTGAGTTTTATATACATGGATATATTAAAATCAAGATTAAAAATAACATCCTCTTAACTTAGTTAAGCAAGCCTCTCCTTGTACATAAAGATCACAGCAGCAGTAGGCCAGTGTGAGGATATTAAAAATATGAAGTATACAACATCTCTGACCTACTAAGTTGATGTAAGAAAGGGCCACTCCCACCTTCAATGCAATTTCTTTACAAAGGACTGCCAGGGGACTGGAGAACCAAAAGGAACCACATATGGCCAGTCTGCTGAACTTTTCTTTCTTTACCTGTCTGTTTTGATGGTAAGCACATCTGTGGTCTTGCAGTATCGCTCTCCTACAAGCTTAATAAGTTTCTTCTTTGCGTGGTCATCTAAATTCAAACTGGAAAGTTTAACCTTAAAAACACAAAAGAAAAGTTATTTGAAGAAAATTATTTCATATACTTCATTTAATGAAAAAAAAAAGTAGCAATGTTATTTATATTAACATTGAACCCACTAAAAAGAAACCTTTTCAAACTCCTTTCTATACGGAGTTAGCAGCTGGCACACGTCATAAAGCCTGATCTTACTCATGAAAAAAAAAAAAAAGAAAGGTTAACATACTGTTTGAAGTTCTTTGAAAGTTCTGGGCATTAGAACCTTCCCCGAAAGAGCTAATGACATGTCTTTTAAATAAATGAAATTATGGTGCTTATGAATAGCACTAACGGAATTAAACTCAATTAGTGTTAGTAAAGCTGGAATATAGAAATAAATGGATAAAACATAAGGGGTTTAAAGAATTCCTACCATGTAATTATGAGACCTGTATCACTGCAACTAGATTAGGGACATTAAAAGCTACAGATATCTCAGAAGGCTGGAATATAGCATCAGAGAAGGATCAAAACATCAGAAATAATTCAGCTCAACATTTTTCAAAATGTTAATACTAGTCCCACAGGCTAACAAGATTTTTTTTAAAAAGTATTTTTCTGTTGAATACATTTAGGAAATGCTGAGTTTAATTGGGTTATTTAAGCCAGTATGGTTTAGAACAGAAAATATGTTAATGAGCACCTTGAAATGTCAAGAAGCAGATTTGTATGCAAAGATTTTCAAATTTATTTGAAACCACCCTCAAACCTAGAGATAAACAGGTTTGACCTATGAAAATAGGCTAGGTTAGACACTAGAATACAGTTATTTCATAAATAAAGTAAAGCATAGATTAATTTTCCATGGAGAGCATTAAACACAAGAAAAAGCCATAACCACATAAAGAAAAAAAGGCTAAATAGGATTTTGAAGTTCCATTTGGTTCTTCTCTCTAGCTTCAATAACCCTGCACTTCCCTCAAGACACCATAGTATATATAGCAGCCTATTTACTTTCCCACTTTTCCCACTGAATCAAGACCCTTGAGGACAAGAATGATTATCTTGTTCTTGGCAATGGACAAGCACTTAAAAGGCATGGAACAAATATTTGCTGAATGAATACATAAATTTTAAAAAGAGAAGACACATTGTTTTTTAATATACTGTGTATTTTTTATCTGAAGTAGAGAAAATAGAAAATAAATATAAATGTACTTCTAAAAAGAACTCAAGTAGTATGAACATTAAGTATTAATCCAAGAGAATATTTATAGACAATTTATAGAATATTTGCTATAGACAATGTAAAATACCATAGTCCCCTGGAAAGAAAATGTATCAACAACCAGGTTATCAGCCTGATTGATAAAACAAGCCATTTTATGATAATTCCTATTACTGACAATATGGAGAATTACTTATGAGAAAATAATAAAATGTATCTACATTATTATAATTATGCAAATATATGTACACATGCATGTATACAGAGGCAGTACAGAGAAAAATGAAGCTTTTACACTAGGATAGTGAGAATGTAGTGATTTTTTCCTTTTAAAACTCCCTTTAATGAAACATAATAATGTTTAACAATAAACTAAAAAATTATTTAAACTTAAATATTCTAGCTTTTTATGTCAGAGGGGCTCAAAAAAACAGCAGCAATGCTGATCATTACTGTAACAAATGCTTTAAAACTCACATTCACATTAATGTTTTACTGTTCAAAACTGCATGGAGTTCATGCCAAAAATCATAAATATTTCAGAAACACATGCATGGTGCACTCACGCCACCTGCTAGCACTCAAAGGCACTGCAAAATTATAGTCTTTAACCTGGACTAATGCTCTGACTTTCCAGGTTAAGTGGCATTCATTGTCTTTTATCAAAATTCGAAAGAATCCTTAGACTTTTTTCCCCAAGTAGCTACATTACAAAGAATATACTATTAACATTATCCCCCAAAATAATGCTGATATTTCAAATGACAGGAGGTTGTGGTTATATATGTGTATCTTCAAATGCCTATATATATATATATATATATATATATACACATTTTTTTTTTTTTTTTTTTTTTGGAGACAGAGTCTCGCTTTGTTGCCCAGGCTAGAGTGAGTGCCTTGGTGCCAGCCTAGCTCACAGCAACCTCAAACTCCTGGGCTCAAGCTATCCTCCTGCCTCAGCCTCCCGAGTGGCTGGGACTACGGGCATGCGCTACCATGCCCAGCTAATTTTTTCTATATATATATATTAGTTGGGCAATTAATTTCTTTCTATTTATAGTAGAGATGGGGTCTCGCTCTTGCTCAGGCTGGTTTCGAATTCCTGACCTCGAGCAATCCACCCACCTTGGCCTCCCAGAGTGAAAATGCCTATATTTTAAAACAAAAAGCTACATAAATTGAGAAATGTCTAAACATGTGAAATATTTTCTCTTTATGCAAGTATAGTATGGTTAGTTAAAGATTTCTGGCATTACACTTTAGAACTGGGTTTCAGGCCGGGCGCGGTGGCTCACGCCTGTAATCCTAGCACTCTGGGAGGCCGAGGCGGGCGGATAGCTCAAGGTCAGGAGTTCGAAACTCTGAGCAAGAGTGAGACCCCGTCTCTACTACACAGAAAGAAATTAATTGACCAACTAAAAATATATATACAAAAAATTAGCAGGGCATGGTGGTGCATGCCTATAGTCCCAGCTACTCGGGAGGCTGAGGAAGGAGGTTCCCTTGAGCCCAGGAGATTGAGGTTGCCAAGAGCTAGTCTGAGGCCATGAGGCATTCTAGCCTGGGCAACAAAGTGAGATAATGTCTCCAAAGAAAAAAAGAATTGGGTTTCATTTCTAGATTTGCCACTTGCTATGTGACCTTAAAACGAATCATTTTACCTCCCTGAAACTCAGTTTCTTCAGGACCACTTAATTCAAAGAATATACGTCAGGAATAAATGAGATTAATAAAAGAAAGCACTTTTAAAGTAAAGTCCTATACAAATAAGTTGTTAATTCTAAACTGCTTTTATGACTATCAAAAACATACCACCTTTACTTCTCCAAAATTAAAAATTTTTAGTATCTTTCAATAATATTTCATAATATTTGACTATCCTCACAATGTTGCTTTAATCATGCTGAACTGCACATGCTTTCACTCAACTGTTTTACCTACTCTTACCCTTGAACTACACAATACCACCCAGGATGCCAACACTGAGCCTCAACAGTAAGTGAGTAGCAAAAAGAGCCCTGCAGGGCTGACATGAGTCAGCAGATGGGGGGACAGAAAGAGCAATGAAGGTACCGCATGGTGGTATGAGACACAAAAAGGAGACAAGAGGGAAAGCATGATGTGATAGCTGGTGCCATACTACAAATAAAGCAGTGAGACTATTTTTGTGTGAAATAAAATAAGCAAACTTAGAACCGGCAGGGACTCCAGATGTCTACCCTAGTACTGAAGACTGTGGCCCACGGTGAGGCAAACAGCATGAATTAGAATCTAGGTTTCCTGACTCCCTGTTCAGAGCTTTTTCAACACAAAACAGAACTCAACAACTGTTGGTGGTGGTTATCATTATCATGAAAAGCAGGTAATGTCTAATATGTTCTTAAAAATATATCCGCTATTATTCCATAGGAACTTTAAACTGTGGAATGATATAAGCATTGTAGAATTGTAAGTTATTTTCTTTTTTCCTTTTGTTTGTCTGGATTTCCAAAATTTTATACAGTAAACATGTATTGTCTTTGTGATTTTAAAATATTTTCAATCTAAAAACATAAATATGTTGCTATGGTATTTAAATTGTTCTAATAAAAAAGGCTGGAAAGCTTCATAAATTTATTTCATAAAGGTGGCATAACCCTGATACCAAAACCTAGCAAAGAAAGAAAATTACAAATCAATCATAGCTATATCACTGAAGAAAATTCTTGGAATTAAAGACTATTCATTAACATATAATGTAAAAATGGCTACACAGATTTTCAACATATTTTTGCAATACACTTAGAATGTTCTGGCTTAAAATATAGGCTACAGGCCGGGTGTGGTGGCTCACGCCTGTAATCCTAGCACTTTGGGAGGCCGAGGAGGGCGGATTGCTCAAGGTCAGGAGTTCAAAACCAGGCTGAGCGAGACCCTGTCTCTACCAAAAATAGAAATAAATTAATTGACCAACTAAAAATATATATACAAAAAATTAGCCGGGCATGGTGGCGCATGCCTGTAGTCCCAACTACTTGGGAGGCTGAGGCAGTAGGATCGCTGAGCCCTGGAGATTGAGGTTGCTGTGAGCCAGGCTGACGCCACGGCACTCACTCTAGCCTGGGCAACAAAGTGAGACTCTGTCTCAAAAAAAAAAAAAAATATATATATATATAGGCTACATAGAGTATAAAAATTCATTTTTTGAGGGTCATAGAAGGCATCTCAAAGAAGTGGGCAGTCATCTTTCAGACACATCAAATGTAATAGTCAGGGCTCCTTAGAGAAGTGGTTGATTCTAGGACGGGATGGAAATGATGTAAGATTAGCCTGGAACATTTTGTAGTGCTAGAAAATAAGGAAGTGTTCAAAAAACAAACAATGGGGGCATGGCTAAGGAACAGAAGAGCCAATTAATAAAGTTCTTAATGGCCAATTTTATTTTATAATTTAAAACTTTTATATTTTCCAAATTTTCTATAAATACATATACATATTATAGTTTTATAATTGCAAATACCAAATGCATTTTAAAATAATGTATTATAGTGATTTGTTCATTCATTCATTCATTCATTTTAGAGACAGAGTCTCACTCTGTTGCCCAGGCTAGAGTGCTGTGGTGTCAGCCTAGCTCATAGCAACCTCAAATTCCTGGGCTCAAATGATCCTCCTGCCTCAGCCTCCTGAGTAGCTGGGACTACAGGCACGCACCACCACGCTCAGCTAACTCTTCTATATTTAGTAGAGATGGGGTCTAGCTCTTGCTTAGGCTGGTCTCCTGAGCTCAAGCGATCCTCCCACCTCAGCCTCCCAGAGTCCCAGACATGAGCCACCAAGCCCGGCCTGATTCTTATTTTTAAAAATAATCTCTTACCCTTAAGGTTACTACTCGTGCTTTGGGGTTTCGAATAGACGGTCCTGATGAAACGTAATCAGCAGTGTCAATTTCAATTGGAAAATGCTTCTCACATTTCTCATCACTGTCGAGTGCAGCTGGCCACTCAGTGCAAAATTCTGAGAATTAAAAAACATTATCTCAATTATAGTTTTGCAAGTAAATTCTCAATGTAATGCATACTACCACACAATACCAAGTTACTGAGGATCACTTTCAGATCACATGAAATGAAAGGACAGACTGTCTTCTGCACTTTACATAATACCATCATCCCTCATCCCTTTTCTTATTAGGTGCATCCTAATTAGGGAATTTAAAGGGAACGATTTGGACACTGCAGGTTTGGTGGGGAGTAGTATATTCAGTTAAAAGTGAACTGTGCCTTGATGAGGGCTTATTATAGGCTTTGCACAGACCTGTTATGGGATAGTTGAATTCCTCTTTACCACCTAAAAGCAAACAGTTCACAGTGCCCAGAGCATTATTGTTTTTGAACAGGCAACAGATAGTATCAATTCACTTCCAAATGAAGGTTACTAAAGATCAGCTAAAGGGAATTAAAAGAACCTTCTAAGAAGGAACTGAGAAGTGTTCAACAATCTTCCAGAAATTGAGCTATACAAAGCCTTGACTACAGGTACAAAAACCTAGTTGATTCCTAAATGTATCCCTACGATAACATGTATTTCTTCTATGTGACTTCTATATGCCCAAGGGGCTAAATGGAAAGAGGTATTTCTTGTCCTCACATTCAGGCAAGACAGCCTAGAAAGGGGGAGGATTGGGTCTGGGACTTAAGCCACAACAGGAAGCTCCAAGCACTGTGAACATGGCTCTCTACCTCCACAGCACAGAAGTATAAACTCAGGACTCAAGTGGGGGGAGGGGGGAACAACTTAAAGGAAAAGAGGTAGCTCATAGCCTCCCCCCAGGTATCGGCAGCTGATGTCACCCCTCCCTGTTCCTATCCAGTTAGTGTGGTAGAGGGCTGCTGACTTGGGATGAAAACTCTGGCACTCCCAGGCTGCCCTCCATGGAAATTTCATTCCTTAACTGGTTTCTTAGGTCAAACATGCTGGACCTCATGGATCTGTGCTTCCTCCAAAACAGCAGAATCACGGGCAGATGTGGGAGCTCTAGGTGATAATCTAGGAGATAGAGAGAGGTACTTTGCCAATGAAATTTCCCCAAGTTAACCATTTTCTTATGGTAGGTAATATATTTAGCTCCCATTTAGGCTTTAAAATCAGAGTCAGCAAAATGTCACTTTGGGTTACAAAGACTCTGTGGTATCTAACTAAATACATGTTAGCAAATTAAGTATAGCTCACACCATTCCCTAAATACTCTGTTTAAAAGATCAATACTCAGTCACTTGAAGGGCAAAGAAGTTTCTCTGCAATGAAGAACATTTTGACATTAAAAAAATGAAGAGTAAGATTATTGAGGTTAAATTTAATTCCCAACACAGACTAATTCCAAAATCCTGCACTATGAGATGCAAACACTGCCAAGCGCTTTATGAGAGAAATTAGTATGGGGAACTTTATGAGCTCTCGGGTTTGCACTGAAATTTTTTTTATTTAACTGTGAATAAGTCATTCCAATCACTAGATGATAATTACAGTTTTTAAATTAAATTACCTAAATTATATGTCTAAAAAACACAGCCAACTGGAAAGTACATAATAGACTCTTATTAGTCTTTTACTCATCTGATAGGTAGAGCAATAGACTAGACTTTGGAAGACCTTGGTTTTTATTTAACTTCTGCCACTGATTATTAAAGTTTTGGTAAATTACCTAACTTTTCCTGTGCTTCAGATTTTCCATTTGCAAGTTAGATATAAAATCTGAACTGACCTACTTTGAAAGAAAACTGAGAAGAAATATTCAAAAAGCCTTTGAGTTATTTGGAAGATACAATCTAAATCCAGAGGCTGGCAGATGGGTAAAGGCATAATTAAGGAAAGATTAAAATACTCATTTAAGTATTGTAAAATATACTGCTACTCTTCTGAATGTGCTGTATAAAAGCCTTTCACTTAGAAATTAGAAAATGTTGTAGCAATATTTCATTAAAATACAGAGTTTCTACATTATAAACACACATTTAAAAATAATGTTTAAAAAGAAGAAAAATGGAATTTATCACAGTGTAATGCATTTGTTAACTGGTTTTACAAAGGATCAAATAGTGGTATATGATTTGTGCCAAATAGGACACAAATTTAGAACAGTGATCAGTTTTAGTCCAATTCCAGACATAAATGAATATAGAAGCATACACTAAAGGGACAGAAAAGCATCCCAAAATAAAAGACCACATAAATGAAAGGAAATATATTTTTCTTCCAGTTATTATTCCTATGTTTTAGGACCTCTTTATATCTTTTTCTTCATATTTTTAAATGGAAGGCCTTTCCAAAAGCTCAAATTTGTTCATAATTATGTTCACTATCCTATTTCTCCTTCCATCATAATCAGGCAACCTGTAAAGTGTTTCTAGGTTTCATTTTATTTCCTGAAAAGCCTTGAAAAGTATACTGAGCATTTATACAACACCTTTAAATCAGCATGAATATATTAAGACTTTATCCAAAGGTATTAACTTTTGAATTACACTACATAATCAATCACTAGTATCTGTGAACCTAAAATAATTCAGATGTGCTTATCCTATGGTCTAGTTCAAATCAGACCAGAACGTTAAATATGTACATAATTATGAAAACATACATAGAATTATGAACCAAAAAAGGTAATTTCCCTTTAACTCTATGTATATCAGAAGGAGAAGTAGTAGCAGTACAAGTGCATGAAAAATTTATGTCTCTATCTAGGAATCAATAAACACTGTTCAAAATCAATAAATCCAGAAGTGGAGGTATAATCATACTCTAGTGATTACTCTTTTATATATAAAATATATATACACATACTACATGGAGTATATAGTATAAATGTAAGTATATATAAATACATTCTCTATTCTCTCTCTCTCTCTGGAAGTAATTATTAGAACTAAATAATGATTAAGAGAGAACATTTCTGGGATGAGGGGTCTGTGATGGAAAAGAAAGCACATGAGACTACTGCTTTTCACTGTAAGATCTTCTATTTGATTTACACATGTATGTAATCACTTAATTTTTAAAAAAATTTTTAGCAATTTCTTCAAGATAACTCTTCTCTGTGAAGTCCCCCATTACTGAACCTACTGACTCACTATTCTGCTACTCAGCATCCTTCAACACTATCTTTAGTTTGGATCACACTGAATTGTATCTGTTGGCAAAACTCTGCAGTATTTTCTTCAGTCTTTGTATGTATGTATTTTCTTCAATCTTGTATGCTTTCTATAACTTAAAGGTAAATCCCAAACCTATTTGTGAGCAAGGATTATGGTTTCTAATTCTCTTTATTATTCATAGCACCTTGTAGAGGGGTGGGCAAAAACAATTTGCAGGTTTGACATCCAAGAATTACTGAAAACAACTTGAAAAATCCTTCAGAAAAGGAGAAACTGACAATGACTCAGAATATAAGACTATGTAGTATATTAACACTGAGATTCTTAATTTTATGGTCAAAATCAATATAAAGTTCATATAAGAAAACAACCACTTGCCTTTAAGAGCTTCACAGTGCCTTTTAATTGCTACAGGAGTCAAATGCAGAAAATTGGGAATCTAAAATAGAGAAATTTAAAGGACAAATTAGCTAAATGTATTAAAAATATAAAGATAATTTTCTCATAAAACTAAATCACAGGCCCAGCAAACCATGTAGTAAATAAAATATGATAGGTTTTTTACAATGTTAATTCTATGTCACAGATATTGTCAATTCAAGAAATGAATTCCTTAAAATTCATTATCAGAATTATTTAGATTCAGTATCATGTGACTTACAACGATACTCTGATGTGTCTTCAGATTGTAAAAATCTTTCACCTTTTACTTAGTATCTTATGATGACAATCATGTTGGAAAAATAAACATCATTTTTATAGTACTCTTCCTGCCATGGATCTACAGATGTACATATATATTTCCCTTATAAAACTAAAAGGACTTAAGGACAAAAAGACTCTCATCTGTGGAAAACACAGTTCATTTTTCATCGTATAACTTTCACTATATGTTAAAGCAGTGGTTCCCCAACCTTTTTGGCACCAGGAACCAGTTTCGTGGAAGACAATTTTTCCATGGACCAGGGCCAAGGGGGATGGTTTCAGGATGATTCAAGCCCATTACATTTATTGTGCACTTTATTTCTATTATTATTACATTGTAATATATGATGAAATAATTACATAATTCACCATAACGCAGAATCAGTGGGAGCCCTGAGCTTGTTTTCCTGCAACTAGATGGTCCCACCTGGGGGTGATGGGAGACAGTGACACCTGAAGTGTGTTGCTTTATCCAGTATATTCCGTAACCTCGTTTTGACTGCTGTCACTGCAGAAAACCCTGCTTCACAAAGATAAGATGCTGGGAATGGAAACAGGCTTTTCAGTGCTTTGGGGGCAATCTCAGAATATTCCACCTTGACTTTAATCCAGAACATATGAAGATGTGAAGTTGCCTCCAACATACTTTTAAGGCCACTGTCATTTGCGATCTCAAGCAGTTGATCCTCTTCTAGCATGAACAAAGTTAATTCAACTGGCTTATTCACAAATGGGTCATGGATCCCATTCCCTCCCAGTTTGGGGGTCTTTTGTATTTGGGAAGAAATGCCCAAACTCTTTTGAAAGCTGAGATAGGTGATCATGAACCAGCAGGGAGAATAAAGTCCCTGGCTCATTATCTTTCAAAATCTCTGCTAATGTTTGAAACATGTCAAAAATCCCAATGTTCACTCATCACCCCCATAATTCCAGTTTGGCTTTGAATGCAACCACTTTATCTGCTGACTTGAGCACAGTTATTCTCCCCTGAAGTGATGGATTGAGTTTGTGGAGCACGTTGAATATGTCACACAAGTAAGCAAGTTTTGCGACCCATTCTGTGTCACTGAAATGTGCTGCCAGTGGTGACAATTTTTCTAAAAGAAATCTCTGGAGTGGCTCTCATAACTCAGAAACTCTGGCTAGTGTTTTTCTTTAGAAAGCCATCTCACTTCTGTGTATAAGAGAAGATGTGTATGCCCTGTGCCCATCTCCTCACAGAGCTGCGCAAACAGACTTGAGTTAAGGGCATGTACTTTAATATGGTTGATAATTTTAATCACATCCTACAAAACATTATTTAGTTCAGGTGACATTTTTCAGCTACCCAGCATTTCTCTATGGATGACACAGTGTGTAGACACATTCAGAAGCGACCTCCTTGACCCAAACAGTGATACCAGAAAGCCATCCAGTCGTGGCAGCTGCTTCAACTGTGCCCATACCGACACAAACGACCAATTCACTTTTCCTGATACGTAATCATTTAAAGACTTGAATAGTTCTGCAGCTGTGGTATTGGTTGGCAACAGAAGTGCACATAACATATCCTCATGAAAAATATATCACACGTAAACAAGCATTGTTGCCTTGTTGTCAACACTGACAGATTTGTCAACTTGGATTGCATAACACAGTGACTCATTAATCCTCTCTAATAATTATGCCTCAATATCCTCTGCTATTTCATCAATTTATCTAGTTACGGTGCTAGCCAAAAGACAAACACATGCCACCTTTTGAACTGCAGTCTCTCCTAAAAGTTCACGGCAAATGTTCTTGGCAGCAGGCAGGATCAGCTCTTCACTAATAGTAAAGGACTTCTTAGCTTTAGCAATGCGGTTAGCCACTAAGAATGATGCTCTCAGTGCAGACACATTTGATGAAGTGGTGGCCTTCAATAATTGCTTCTGTTCGTCCTGATCATGTTTTTTCTTTTGGAAAACTCCAAAGGCCTGTCTTTTAATGCAGGGTGCTTGATCTCCATGTGGCAAAGCAGTTTTGAAGGTTTCATGAATAGCTGGTTGCCACATATACAAAGTGGGCTTGAAGAATGTGAGTCACCTGTTGCAGTGAATCCGTAATATAAGTAGAACTCTTGGTATTTTCTTTTATTAATAAATGCAGCTTTCATTTTGGTGACAGTCTTAGAGTCTTCTGCTGTCTTATCATTGGGTGTTTCCCCCTTTTCAAAGAAGCTCTCTGGAGACATTTGTTTTTTACTCATTTTTGCTTTGGTTAGCTTGTGGGCTTACCAAAACTGTGACTGAAACAAGAGTGGAGTGCAGAAAAGAGGCCAGGATGGAAATGGTAAATAAAATAATGGGGGGGGCACACTAAAATAAGTGTCATAGACTAAAATAAGTGTCAGATTCTGACTTAAAGCCTGCCACCAGATGCAGCTGTACAAGTGAAGTACATCAACTCACTTGCCACTATAAAGTCTGCCACCAGATGCAGCTTAATTGTCATTTGTCACTCACTAATAATAGGGTTTTGATATGGGTCTGCAAGCAATTGATTTATTGTGGTTTCTGTGCAGTCAGACCTCTGTGCTAATGATAATCTGTATTTGCAGCCACTCACTAGCAGTAGCATCACCACCTCAGCTCATCAGGCTTTATTTATTTTGCCCAGGCTAGAGTGAGTGCCGAGGCATCGGCCTAGCTCACAGCAACCTCAAACTCCTGGGCTCAAGTAATCCTTCTGTCTCAGCCTCCCAAGTAGCTGGGACTACAGGCATGCGCCACCACGGCCGGCTAATTTTTTCTATATATATTTTAGTTGGCCAATTAATTTCTTTCTTATTATAGTAGAGACGGGGTCTCGCTCTTGCTCAGGCTGGTTTTGAACTCCTGACCTCGGGCAATCCGCCCCCCTCGGCCTCCCAGAGTGCTAGGATTACAGGTGTGAGCCACCGCGCCCGGCCTAGGCTTTATTCTTATAAGAAGTGTGCAACCTAGATCCCTCACGTGCACAGTTTACAGTAGAGTTCGGGCTCCTATGAGAACCTAATGTCGACGCTGATCTGACAGGAGGCGGAGCACAGGCAGTGATGGGAGTGATAGGGAATGGCTGTAAATACAGATGAAGCTTCACTTACTCACCTCCTGAGTAGCCCAGTCCCTAACAAGCCACGGACTGGTGGGTTGAGGGCCACAGTGTTAAAGGACGCCATCTAAGATATGTGTTCCCAGATTAAGCATTTATATTTTCTTTTTAAAACCTATAGTTCACAAATCACTGTAGATTCTATCAAATGAAGCATTTACTGTAACCTATTTTGCTTCAAAAAATATAGAGAAGGAAAATTTGGTGGATTATAGTGACACCACTAAGTAACATTCTATCTTTCTGGACAGACAGTTTTAAAATTCCTTTTCACTTCCCAATTCTCACTCTCAAATTAGGTTATTTCACTTTTCTTAGTTCCACAGAAAGATACAATGTAGAAGAGATACAACAGAAAAAAGAACAAGGACAAAGGACTCATTAATTACATTCTTAAATGCTTAGGATTCTGTGAGTCTTCTTTACCATGCATAATCAAAATACAATATCCGTTATTACCTGGACAAATTTTTAAGTTACAATACAATAAGCTGCTAGATACCTAGATACCAAGCCTTGAAGTAAAGGAGGGTGGAAGGAGGGGAAGATCAGCATTTATTTAGCCAACGAACCGACAACTTATCTTACCTTTAAAAGTTCTAGATTTCCCTCCTTTGCCAACGGCACGCCCTTTTTTACTGGATAACCCATTCTAATAGGAAGAGGGACCACAGAGGGTTTAAATGGCGCTGCAGCAGGGTAAACGCTAGGCCAGTCCTGGTCAACAGCCATTTTCTCTGTCCTAGGAGGCAGTGCCTAAGAAACATAAAATAGTTTCATATTTTAAATAGAAACATTCTTTAGTTTTGAAGCAAAAAAAAAAAAAGCAATTACAAAAAAATTAAAGCAGAACTGCAACCTATGTCTGACCTCTCACAAAGCTGCTGTTCTTAAAATGAAAAAACACTGTATTTCTCTAAATATCTCTGCATGCTCTTCTCAGACCCTCTGGCAAGGATCCCCTTTCATTTTACATTTCCTTCACTAAAAATTTCTCTATTTATTTAACTAGGCTTTTAGCAAAATTTTTATATTTTATTTATGAAGGAGTGAGTTAATATATTTTTGAAATAATCTCTAAAATCGCTTTGATGGAAGTCAGTACATGAGGAGACATTAAAAACTTGGAGGCCGGGTGTGGTGGCTCACACCTGTAATCCTAGCACTCTGGGAGGCTGAGGCCAGCGGATTGCTCAATGTCAGGAGTTCAAAACCAGCCTGAGCGAGACCCCGTCTCTACTAAAAATAGAAAGAAATTAATTGACCAACTAAAAATATGTATACAAAAAATTAGCCGGGCATGGTGGCACATGCCTGTAGTCCCAGCTACTCAGGAGGCTGAGGCAGTAGGATTGTTTGAGCCCAGGAGATTGAGGTTGATGCCATGGCACTCACTCTAGCCTGGGCAACAAAGTGAGACTCTGTCTCAAAAAAAAAAAAAAAAACTTGGACATAAGGAATATGGAAAATTAAGCATAGGAACAGGGAAATAAGTAAATTAGGGTTAAACTGATAGAAGAAAGACATAATGAGAAATTATGTCTCTGAAGCTCAGAGAAAAACTAGTACTTGATAGTTCAGTCAATCACATTAACTTTTTTTTTTTTTGAGACAGAGTCTCACTCTGTTGCCTGGGCTAGAGTGCAGTGGTGCCTAGCTCACAGCAACCTCAAACTCCTGGGCTCAAGCAATCCTGCTGCCTCAGCCTCCTAAGTAGCTGGGACTACAGGCATGTGCCACCATGCCCGGCCAATTTTTTCTATATATTTTTAGTTGGCCAATTAATTTCTTTTTACTTTTAGTAGAGACGGGGTCTTGTTCTTGCTCAGGCTGGTTCTGAACTCCTGACCTTGAGCGATCCTCCTGCCTCAGCCTCCCAGAGTGCTAGGATTATAGGCGTGAGCCACCACACCCGACCTAACTTTTTCTTTTTCTTAATTGTAATAAATAGGAAGGGATGGCCAGCATACAAAAGTAGGGTTTAAAGTGGCAAAATTTAGCAACGCTCATCTGAGCAAGATCAAAACCAGTGTTGAGTATGTCTTAGAAGCAGGTAATATTCCTGTGAAAATGATTGGTCCTAATGATTATCATTTGGTATCATTTAACTTCCAACTAATGTGCCTCTGTTCTGATTCCAGGCTTACTAACTGACCTCATAATTTGGATTCTTCCACAGAGATGCGCACAAGGTGAGACTAAACTGGTGAGTGAGCCCACCTCTCAAAGATATCTATTCTTTGAGTATTGACTAAAAAAAAAAACAGTCAAAGATTAACCCCTGCCTGGGTTGGGGCCTGTAAACATGAGCTTGTAAAACTTTTTCTGACAGTACCCTTTTGCCTCATAATACATGTCTCATGTTAGAACTTCAGGAACCACTGAGGTAGTATATAGTGAAGTATATAAATTGTTTACCTTTCTTTTCCACATTCTTTCAGTTTTGGACGTTCTTTCTGTTGTACCCAAAAGACAACACATTAGTTACAGAGAATTTTACAACATACAGTTCTTCAAAATCAATCATGATCCCATTATTCTAATATTAATACAATTTAAGGTATTTGGTGACACAAAAATGAAACAGTAACCCATTCTGTGTAAGCTCAAGGACTAAAACCATCTTAAGGAAAACAAAAAGTCAGAAATAGCTATGAAAATTCTCTAGTTATTTAGATATAAAGTTTATTGTGATTGCTGATATAGTGAACTCATTATCTAAAGAAATATTTTCAATAAATTTTAAGGTTCACTTAAAATAAATTCACTTTCCCAAGTTAAAATATCTAGTTAGAAATAAGTATTTTGAATCTTTAAAGATACTTGGTTTGAAATGTTCCAACTATACATACACTTGTTCACATCTGGAACTGCTCTATTCTTTCTACCAAAAAAAAAATCCCTTCAGTTTTTCCTTCCCTATTGCATGTTAGAATTGCCAATACTACTCTAATACCAATAACAAAAATCACAGCCATTCCTAATAAATCACACATGACTGTAGAATTACTTACTTATATACAGTAAATACCTTTGAAAATATTATATAACTTTATGCCTTTCTAAACACTTTGTTATACTAAAATAATAATAGATATATTTATTGAGCACTTTCAAATGCAGATACTGTGCTAAATGTTTTTTTATTACCTCATTTAATCTTATTCATTACAGTGAATATAAGTACTATTACTATCCTTATTTAGAAGTCACTTATAGTCAAGAAAACTAAGGAGCAAGGATTAAGGTGACATTAGTTTAGTGTACACAGCTCACCATACTGGAAACCACTATTGCTACCTTCACCTCCCTTTAAAAGGCTCCACTGTTACAATGAACTTCTAGTACCAGGGCTTTTAATCTTTCTCTGAACTTTCTGTTCTCTCTGCTTGGAATATGCTTCCCTCCCATCTGCCTAGCTCCTGCCCCCCACCTAAAAACCACTTCTTCACCTGACAAGTTCCTATTTATCCTGCAATATTCATTCATTCATTAAAAAATCATCTGATTCTGCATACCAGAAAATAAGAAGGCAGCACTGAACAAGACAGAGATAGTCTTTACTTTCACAGAATGTAGAGTCTGTCAAATAAGACAACTTTTTAACAAGTAATTTCAATAAACAGTGCTACATATTATGGACACATAGAACAAGGAACTGAACCTAGTCAACTAGTTGGAGTGATAGTTTATTTTAGGTGTCAGCTTGACTGGATTAAGGGATACCTACATAGCTGGTAAAGCATGACTTCTAGGTATGTCTGTGAGGGTGTTTCAGAGGAGAATGGTGTATGAGTTGGCGGACTGAGTGGGGAAGACCTGCTCTCATCGTGGATGCACACCATCCAATCAGTTGCCGGCCCAGACAGAACAAAAGGCAGAGGAAAGCAGCATTCACTCTCTCTCTCCTGGAGTGGGGACACTCTTCTCCTGCCCTTGGACACCAGAACTCCAGGTTCTCCAGCCTTTGGACTCCAGGATTTACACTAACACCACCATCCACCCCACCCATCCCTAACCCCCATTGGGGCTCTCGGGCTCTCAGGCCTTCTGCCTAGGAAACTGAGAGTTCCATCAGCTTCCTTGGTTCTGAAGGCTTCAGACCTGAAGTCACCATGCAATAGAATCTCTGGGCCTCTAGCTTACAGATGACCTATTGAGGGACTTCTCAGCTTCCATAATCATGTGAGCAGATTCTAATAAATCCCCTCTCATATATTTGTGTATCTCTATCTACATCTACATCTATATCTATCCTACTGGTTCAGTCTGTCTGGAGAACACTGACTAATACAGTGGGGAAAAATCTCCTGAAGAAATTAACCTTAAGCTAAAACCTGAAGGATGAGCACCTACCTTACTGAGCCATGGAGACAGGTAGGTGAGAAAAAGAGTTTCAGGAGAGCAAGAGAAAATAGAAAAATCCAAGCAAATACACAAATTCAATAGGACTGAAATTTAAGAGTAGAATAGAGTCACTGAAATAAGAGGTAAACAATATGTAATAGGCTTCTCAACCATAATACATCCTTGGTAGAGCTCTTTATTTCCTTCTTCCAGTCTTTCCAATCCCTGTAAATGGTACTGCCATTCATCCAACTGGTCAGAACAAAAATATAATAGGTTTTTTTGAGAGTTGTCCTCAAGCCCCACATCAAATCCATTAGTAAGTCCTATCATCTCTACCTTCAAAATATATCCCAAATTCAACCACACCACCTTCTCTACTATTCACCCAGTCCAGTCTAAGTCACCATTGCCTCATTTGGACTACTGCAACAGCCTCTACACACGTCTCTGGTTCCATTCTCACCTCAATAAAGTTAGTTCACACAGCGGCCAGGGATCTTTTAAAAATGTAAATCACCTTATATCACTTCCATGTCCTGTTCAAAGCTTTCTAATGTGATCCCACACTCAGAATAAAATCCAAGCCAAAAATCCAAACAGTGGGGGGAGGGGGGAAAGGGCATTTATTGAAACCTTAAAATCTGTACCCCTATAATATGCCGAGATAAAAAAAAAAAAATCCAAACAGAATGCCTACAAGCCTTATAAGATCAGGCCATGACTTAACTCTATGACATCTTATATTATTACTCCCTCCTTTGCTCAGCTCCAGCCATGTTGGCCTTCTTTCTATTCCTTGATCACACCCCTGTGCTTTTTTCTCACTTTGGGGCCTTTGCACTCAAAAATCCCTATGACAACAATGCTCTTCCCCCAGATCTTTGCAGGGCTCTGGGCTCTGCTCAAATGTCACTTTCTCAGAGATACCTTACCTATCTTATCTTATCTTACCCTATAGCCACTACTCCCCCAATCCATCATTCTCAAAACTCTGCTTTATTTTTCTTCATAGCACTAAACACTACCTGACATTTTATTTAGTTCTTTACTTGTTTATACTCTGGCTTCCTCAAAAGAATGTAAAGTTCATAAGATTAGAGACCTTGCTGTATATCCCCAGTGTCTAGAACACTGCCTAGCATATAGTGAGAGTTAAGTATTTGTAGAATGAAAGAATGAATGAAAAACAAAAAAATAAACAAGTGTTAAGACTACAAAGAGCCACTATGAAGCATTAAGGAATTTACAATTTACCATAAAACAATAGAAACCATATATAGCTTCTGAACAAGCAAGTAGCAAGACAAGATCTGCATCTTGAACACCTCATTCTGGCTGTTGTTGAGAATTCAATCCAGGAGAGCAAGGTGGAAATAGGACACAGAAAGCAAACTATTGCAGAAATGAGGGATGGTGGCCTAGATTGGGCTGCTGGTAGTATGAAGAGAGTAAATTGGAGATACTATAGGAGACAGCACAGATAGGACCTGCTGATATACTGGAGGTACCCATCCCTTGGCTGAGAATTTCCAGACTCTTGCCAGCTCCTCCTCAATGCTCCCCTGTCATTCTTCACACTTCTACTACAGTGCCTTTCACTCTACATAGTACTTTACCGTTGAAAAATCTGTTTTTTTTCAACTAGACTTCTCCAGGACAAGCCCACTATCAAGAATCCCTATAATCTGTTACATGAAGGTCACCCCATTTGGTGGCCAGGAATTCAGAGCTGCAGTTTGTTCTGTCACAACCATATATATGCCTCTCTTAATGTTCAGGAAAATCCATGGTTCCACACTGCCCGATAAACATTACTGAGCACCAGCCTCTAGAGAGAGAACCCCAGAAGTAGCAGTTCCTGGGGGAGGGAGGATGCAAGCTTTCTGAGCAAGCGTCCAGAGGTCCCAGAGCAGAAACCAACGATTGGGAGCAAGGGGACGCGGGCGCAGAGGACAGAGCGACATCCGCAGCTTTCCCACTGGCGGGCTAGCGACAAGCTGGCAGAGGACGTACCGGCCTCCCCAGGGCGGCGCTGGCTCAGTCACCGCCGCGGCCATCCTGGGGCCGGCCTTCCGCCCTCGCACCTCCCCCTCAGCCCGGAGGCAACGAGGCAGACACTCACGAAGGCTAGGAGTGGCTGGGGACACGGCGGTGGAGAATGCACGCAGGGTCCTGACTCCCGGGTGCAAGGCCAGCCACGCCGTGAGAGCGGCGGCCGCCATGGCTGCGCGGACGGAGAGCCGTAGGGCACAAACGCGTTCGCCGTCAAGGGGGCGGGAGGGGCGGGCCCACCGGCTCTTGCCCCGCCCCTGGGATGGAGAAACAGGAACCACGTGGGTCTGCGCGAACTCAGCGAGGGAATCAAATGTGCAGAAAGCCACCCCTCCAAAATAGGAAAAAATAATGACATGAAAACCAAAAGGATCTTTTAAAAAATCGAATCAGTGAGTTCCAAGACAATTGCAAAGGAGGACTATAAGATATGGGGGCAATGTGGCTCACAGAGGTCTATCTCCATCGTCACATGACCCAGGAGGTAGGCCATCTACCCCAGGGCTCTGATTCTTTGCAATTGCTACTTTTCTGCATTTATTTGGATTAAAGAAATCCTAAACTAGTGCAAGGGATATACGCCTACGGGGGAGACGCAGTATCCTGTAGTAGTTAAAAGGATGTCCCTTGAGCCAGACTGCTAGAGTTTGAAACTTCACCATTTCTAGGATGTGTGATCTTAAAGCAAGTATGCTTGGAATCTTAGCATTCTGGGAGGCTGAGACGGGAGGACTGCTTGAGCTCAAGAGTTCTAGACCAGCCTGAGCAAGAAGAGCGGAGACCATACCTCTACTGTAATAAAAATAGAAAAATTAGCTGAGCGTCGTGGTGCACACCTGTCCTCCCAGCTACTCGGGAGGCCAAGGCAAGAGGATCACTTGAGCCTAGTAGTTTGAGGTTGCAGTGAGCTACGAAGACACCACTGCAATCCACCCAGGGTAACAGAGCAAGACTCTGTGTCCAAAAAACAAGATACCCAAAACTCTGGGTACAGTATTGGCCTACCGCAAACATGTTGGAGACTAAGACCCTCCTAGCCTAAGACGAAAATAGCACCCAGCCCCCCAGCTATAGTTCCGAGAAGAATGCATTCCATGCCATGCTTGCTCCAGGGCATGCTACCTGCAATTGTTCCCAACTCCCTGCCAGGTTGGGGTTGAGTGATCCATCACAAAGAGCTTCCGGTGCCATTGGGATGCTGATTGGGGCTGATTAGCCCACAGGAAAGCCTCATCATTCCCCCATTCTATTTTTCTGTTTCTACTTCCTTGTTTTCTGTATATAAAACCTACCAAAAATCCAAGTAAAGTAGACCTTGACAACCCTTTGCTTGGTCTCCTTTCTTTCTCTCGCCCATCTCTTTCAGGCACGGTCCCCCTCGCCCCGCGAGTAACAGAAGGTCCCGCGGGCCAGGACACAAACATTGTGTGCCCATAGCCTATAACTTAATAATTTGGTTAGCTTGTTCATGCTCAAGTTAGAATTACAAAAAGTCAGAACTCATCAGGCCCTAGAAAATAATGTTTATCCTTTAAGGAACGCTCTTACTTTCTACCCTAGAATGGATTAACATACAACCGTTAATAAAATTATCCCCTATCTTTTAAATCGGGAGTACAAAATTATAACAACAAGAACAACTGGGAATAAAAGCAACTGACTTTTAGTAAGCATACAGCTAGTAGAGCAGAGGTACGCAGGAGTCCCAGAGTATTCTAGCTGTGAGTATTCAGTGTGCCATGGGCATCATTCAGTAAGGAGGGGGATAAATGGCATGAGATGGGCAAGTATTTGTAATAATCACCGCCCTCATCTTTTCTGGATTCTTCCCATCCCATTATTGCTCCAAAACAGAAGCATTGTGTATTAGTTTCCTAGGGCTGCTGTGACAAGTACCACAGAATGGGTGACTTAAAACAACAGAAATTTATTTTCTCACAGTTCTGGAGTCTAGAAGTCTGAAATCCAGGTGACTGCAGAGTTGGTCCCTTCTAGAGGTTCTGAGGGAGAATCTGTTCCATGCCTCTCTTCTAGCTTCTGATGGTTGCTGCCAATCCCTGGTGTTTCTTGGCTAATAGATGCGGCACACCAACTTCTGCTTTTGTCCTCACATGGTGTTTTCTCCTTCCCTCGAACTATTCTTGAGATTCTGACCTTTTTGGTCAGATGGATGTGAGGTTTTAATCCAGGCTCTGCTTCTTTGTGACATTGGGCAATCTACCTAACCCCTCTGAATTTCAATTTCAAGGAAAATGGGAACAGTATCTTTCTCAGGACAGTTGTAATTAAGTGTAATTAACTTCAGAAAGCATAATGTAAGTGGTGGTCACTAGAATTAAGCTCAGGGTCAATGCAATAACCTCTTTTTCTCTGTCAAGTCTGTATATTTTAGTAGATAAAGTGCAAAGCCTAGACCATAGAAATTTAGGGACAAAAGGAATATGATCATATTCAGAGACTTCTTAATTTCTGAGTAAGATGTTAAGAGACTTAAGTTTCTATTCTACTTTGCTATGGTTTCTGTCTTTTACTCTCTCCCTAAGACTAAAGTGGATAGATGGCCAGAGCTAGAGGAACCAGAAAAGTACTTATTGTTTTCCCTGGCATCAAGTATAGTAAATTTTATTCTATATTAAAAGTTAAAAACTCATTTACAATGCTATCAATAGGCAATGATATCTGTTTTGTGCAGTGTAAAGAGTAAAGCATTTACAATCTTGCACATAGGAGTTACTGAGAATTACATACAATTTCAATTGGGAAGGACCATGGAGGTGTAATCATTCATTCGTGATAAAAATCATTTCTTCAACCTTAATGACCAAATAATCCAACATATCATAGAAGCCAGGCTGGCTTCATGGGCATATGATCTACACTTACAAGGCCTTGTGCCTGGCTTAATGCTCTGCTGTCCCTGTATTAAAATTTTTAATAATTTTTTTTTTTTTTTTTTTTTTTAGAGACGGTGTTTTGCTCTGTTGTCCAGGCTAAAGTGCAGTGGAATGATCATTGCCCACTGCAGCCTTGAATTCCTGGGCTGAAGCTATCCTCTCACCTCAGTCTCCCAAGTATCTGGGACTACAGGCTTGAGTCACTATTCCTGGCTAAAAATTCTTGATAATTTTTGAACAAAGAGTTCTGCATTTTCAGTTTGCACTGGGTCTTACAAATTATGTAGCCAATCCTGTGTAGAACAATTTTAAATATTAAGCTTTTTTACAAGGGGTTTTTACTATATTTAAAACCTGGATTAATCCAATGAAAGCTACTTTTTCTTTAATTGTTTTTCTCTTTTTGTAGAGATGGGGTCTCCCTATGTTGCCTAGGCTTGGCTCAAACTCCTAGCCTTAAGTGATCCTCCTACCTTGGACTTCTGAAGTGCTGGGATTACAGGTGTGAGCCACCGCACCTGGCAGAGAGGTACTTTTAATCAGAACTAACATCTTTATAAAAAGTGGGTGAACAAATTATGTCTATTCACAAGTATGGTAAACAGTATGGAAATATCAGGTATGAGGATAGACCTTGCAACCTAAATGTCCATCAAAACAGTATTGGTTTCTAGAACCTAAACAGGCTTTTCAGGAAAAAAATAAAAAAGATATAAAAGAAAAAAACCCAGTATTGGTTAAACATATTATTGTGTATTCATATAATATAGAGTACTAAGATACATGGGTTTCAATGCTGGTTGAACATTAGAATCATCTCAGGAGATTTTAAAAAACAATTGTCTAGACCTTCTTCCTGATTGAGAAGTTGAACCATTGGTCTAGGTGTGTTTGGAGCTTTTGCTTGGGGCTTTTTGTTTGTTTGTTTGCTTGCTTTGTTTTTTGTTTACTTCTTAAGTTCCACAAGTAAGTCAAATATTCAGGCAGAATTAAGAACCACTGAAATCAGCCTTAAAAAGGATTAAGTGGATATAAATCCATTAGTACAGAAAATTGTCCACAATATATGGTTCTTTGAAATGCAGGTTATAAGGCAGTTATGGGTTATTTAATCCCATTTGTATAAAATATTTTTTATATTCAATACAACTTCTAGAGGGGTAAACAGTAAATTTGAGGAAGTGGGTATGGGGGTAGAGGTGAGACTCCTAAAGACTACACTTTCCACATATTTGTACTTGTATTTTTACAACCAGAATGCAGCTTTTAAAAAAATTAAATGAGAATGCAAAAAGCTTCACATTTTTATTTTCACTTAGGAAAAAAAAAACATGCTATGTCTTTGATTTATGCCCTCCAGCTATTTATAACATGAATAGTTACAATTTGTACCAGGTTCTCTGAAATTTTGGTAAATTGAAACTTTACAAAATACTTTCACAACCTTTTTTTTTTTTTTTTTTCGAGACAGAGTCTTGCTTTGTTGCCCAGGCTAGAGTGAGTGCGTGGCGTCAGCCTAGCTCACAGCAACCTCAAACTCCTGGCTCAAGCGACCCTCCTGCCTCAGCCCCGAGTACCTGGGACTAAGGCATGCGCCACCATGCCCGGCTAATTTTTTCTATGTGTATTAGGTGCCAATTAATTTCTTTCTATTTATAGTAGAGATGGGGTCTCGCCTCTGCTCAGCGCTGGTCTCAAACCTCGACCTCGAGCAATCTGCCCCCCTCTGCCTCGCAGAGTGTTAGGATTACAGGTGTGAGCCACCAAAGC